GTGAATGGATGGATGGATGGATGGATGGATGGATGCCTCAAGCTTACATAGCTAATAAATGAGAAACCAGAATTCAAATCTGGGTTGTTTTGCTCTAAAGCTATATATTAGCTACTATTACTCTATTTCTGTGCCTGAAAGATAAAATATAAGATGTGAGGAAAGTAGAAGCATGATTCAAAGGACATAATCACAAGAACATCTTTATTTATAGCAACATTCTCCAGGGGTAATTTTCCATATGGCAGAGTTATTTGTCTTGAAGCCAGTTTTTCCATATCCCTTTGAGAGGCCAGAATGCCTATGATAAACCATATTTAGCTAAGGCCAATGGTAGAACACTGAGCAGAAGGATCCAAATGAAAGCCGTGTCACACAGACTTGTTTAAACATAAGACAGTATATATTTTATAAGCTGTGGTATCTACATATCATGCTGGCAATTTCAGATTCTTGTGGGTTGCTTTTTTTTCTAAAAGTGCTCTCCAAATATAACTTAGAAAAGGTTAGACTATATGATATTAAACAATTTCAAATATAAGCAATCAATGAGATTAACTGAATGCCCAAAATATGACTGTACATATATTTCTCAGGAAGGGCAAGTAATAATGCAAGTACTTTATTATATATACTCATCATTCTCTCAAGTTTGACAGTGAGATATACAACTGTGTGATGTATCACAGTAAAAGAATGTTTAATTGTAATGTAAATATTATCACTTAATCAGACCAGATTATACTTCTAAAAATTTTCTCTCACCCCAGAGAATCTTAACATGGTGATACATGCTGTAAAAATAGTTTATTTGTTGGCATTTTAATTTGCAAACTTATAAGTTTGGGACTTCTTAATTGAATGTAACCTAAGGTAGGGGATATTAATTTGAAGTCCATGCCTCTTAACAGGGAGCTGTCATTCTTGAATGGGGTTAAGTTTAATTGTAGGCAACTTAAAAAAAAAAAAAAATTGTAGGATAATTTCCCCCTCAGATTCTCAAAGGAAATTATGTCTCCTGCAAAAATTTTCAACCTAATAGCCTAAGATGTAGCCATGAATTTTGGAGCTTATGTAGCTCCATGTAGTGGCCAGTCCTATATACAAAAAACACTAGAACTATCTATGCCTTTAAGATGTTTGCAATGATTTGATTTGGCGGGAAGAAACACATGAAGTGTAATTAATGACAGAGGTGGTGATTTTTATAGTAGATAAATTCTTGGGAGCTCAGAAGAGGTCTGAATAGGGATCCATAGGAAATGGAGTGGCCATGGAAAAGTATGAAACTGAAGTGGACTAGAAAAGAACAGGAGGATTAAACCTAGTTTAGAAAAAAAGTGTGTGAGTAAAAGCAACATGAATGAAGACAAGGAGGCTAGACGGAATGTGGAATTATTCCATTATTTGACTCTTACTTGAAGTAAACTAATGTTAAATAACACCTTGTTAATAAGGAGAAACTGACTGCTTTACTTAGGGACTGAAACAGATCTCTGTACCCAGTTGGAAAGTGAGAGGTCGTCACATACAGACCCTTCTCTATACCAGTTGTCACCTCTATGCCTTTTTCCCTCTGCACAAAAGGAATGAGCAACATGTTTATAATGTTTATTCTTCAACAACAAAACAAAGTTTTTATTCACCCTTCAATAGGTTCTTCATGAGAGCATACAGGACATAGAGTCACCAGAGATTAAAGAAGACATTCACTATTTCGAATTTTGAGCTTTCTCTAGAACTCTGGAAACCCAGTCAGTAAAGCACTGCAATGGAGGGTGAAGAGCAAAGGTTCTACAATCAAACTGGCTCCATTTAAAACTCAGTTTGGCCACTTTCAGCTAATGACCTTGGGCAAATTCTCTGTTTCAGTTTCTTTGTCTGTAAAATGAGGAACACATTTGATAAAATTATTGAGAATGAAATGACTATATATATGTATATACACACACACACACACACACACACATGTATATATATATATATATATATCAATTATAACTTTATTTGACATATGGTAAGCACTAAAATGACAGCAACTATTAAAATATTGTAATATTTATATTCTAGAGAATCAAACGTGCTATGTGTGGGGAATTCATCATCATTCTAAGGATTAGGCAATGGGTGGAATTCCAATGTACAGTACTTGAGTTGACACAATGTGCTACTTTGGGCTAATGAACACACAGTGCCTGCTTATGAGAACTTTTAGTCTATTTTATAGGGTTATTAACAGTGGATTTGCTAATGTTTCACCTACTGAATTGAATTGCCTTCACCTTGCAGGAGGATATCAACAAAGCAGTGAAGGCTGCACGACAGGCTTTTCAGATTGGCTCTCCATGGCGTACTATGGATGCTTCAGATAGGGGACGGCTACTGTACAAGTTGGCTGATTTAGTTGAAAGAGATCGTCTGCTGCTGGCAGTGAGTATTAACCAAACCAGGCAGGCAATGAGATCTCTAGAAATCATTGAATGTACAGATTGGCAAGTTTTGATTTTAGGAATCACTATGTGCTCTCTATAAAAAAATCAGAGACTTCATCTACCAGCTCTGGTATAAGAACATTATCATTGAATTTATTCTTAGATAGTAATCTGTACTCTGGTTCTGAATTGTTTTCATTTCTTTTTATTATTATTATTATTATTTATTATTATTTATGACTACAGCACCTGGTCTTCCTAGGTGGTCTCCTATCCAAGTACTAACCAGGCCTGACCCTGCTTAGCTTCCGAGATCAGATATTGGGCTTGTTCAGGGTGGCATGGCTGTAGACCATAGACCGTGGCTCCACTGGGGCGTGAACCTAGGACCGTCTACGAGTAAAGCAGACACATTAACTGCTACACTATAGAACTACATCCTGTTAATTTCTACTCCAAAAATAGATCTACAATCTAAACTTTGGCAAATCCCCAGTTAAGCCAAATTAAACGAATTTCTTTCCTTCACTCTAGAATTTCTCTGAGCATCTAACACAGTAGTACGCAGTAAGAATATCCTAGAATAGTATACTGGGTTTCCCTAATTTACTTGACCACTGACCTCTACAAGTGGAAAATCTCATACACTTTGTTAAAGATGCCTAGAATGTTTATCTAAAATAAATCTTATTTCTCCTTAATCTAGCCCTGCAAGACACTTAATAAATGGCCACTTTTTCCCTTCCTGAAATGAATATGTTTACAATGGTCTTGATTAAATTTTTATTTTGTTGAAAAGAGTGAGGAATAAAGAAAAAATCCTATCATTCATGTGTTTATGAAAATTGTGTTTTTACATATACTCCTTTAAAAAAAAAACCATTTTAGCAGATAGATGAGTCAGCACATAAAATGAATGAGAAAGGTTGTTTTCTTCTCAATTGGACAGTACAGTGAAACCAGTTTCACACAAACCAATACCAAGATCAGATTTCAGAGTAAATTTTTATTACTTTTAGAATCTTAAACTGGAAGTAACAAAGAGGCCTACATTTTTAAAAAATCAATATTAGTAATTATAGTTCATTAATTTCTCAGATATTCAACATAATTCAAAGTATATAAAACTATGGAATAGAAACAATATACATTAAAACTACATTACCAAAATGTCCTGTAGGAAGAAAGTAGAATTTGACAAAACTTGATTTCTCTTATTTTTCTCATCTATGGATTATAGAGTGTTGACTGCCTCTGTCATCATGAGATCCTAAGGAAGAAAAAAGAGCAGACATGCAAAAACCATGCGTGATTAAATTTTGACATGTCATACAGTATAATGCCCAGAGAGAACATTGTATAACAGATGAGGAACAGCTTTAATAATTTCTCCTGTGC